TGCCGCGGCAATATCTACCGGGCATACCAGATGAGTTCTAGGTGAGAATTCAGCAACGAAGTCGGCCAATGTCTGGTCTTTTATGGCAGTGCATGGCTGAAACTTGACGTCAAACTGTCCCAGTTCAACCGTCCACTTGAGAATTCGATCGGAGAAATCCGCCCGTTTGAACAAAGCTTTGAGGGAAAACTCGGTCAAAACGATGACGGTATGAGCATGGAAATAGTGCGCCAACTTCCTAGAGGCCATCATCAATGCCAATGCAAGTTTTTTCAGCGGCAAGTATCTCGACTCTACCGGTAGCAAGGTTTTACTGACGTAGAAGATGAGGAGATGCTTGATTCCTTCTGACCGGACAAGTACCGCACTGACTACATGCTGAGAAACGGCCAAATAAAGGTAGAGTTCTTCGCCGGGTTTCGGTGTGACCAACAGGGGCGCTGAAAACAGATACTCCTTGAGCTCGGCCAAAGCCCGATCACATTCTTTATCCCAAGAGAACTTTGATTTCAGAGCTTGAAAGAAAGAGCGGCAGCGATTTGATGACCGACTTATAAATCGGTTAAGCGCGGCGACAATTCTGGCCAGATGCTGCACGTCCTTAGCCGAGCTAGGCTTCTTTAATTCTTGTACGGCTCTGATCTGTGTGGGGTCTACTTCGATGACTTGGTTTATGACTAGGAAACCTAAGAATTTTTCTGATCCTACGCCAAAGGCACATCTAGACGCATTCAGGCGTAACTTGTATTGTTTGAGAACATCTCGGCCAAGTTGGACAAGTGGTTTGCTTTATGCCGGCTCTTAACCACCATATCATCTATATAAGCCTCCATTGTCTGGCCTAATAGAGGAGCGAACATCTTGGTCACCATCCTTTGAAAAGTTGTCCTGGCGTTCTTCAAACCAAAAGGCATGACTCTGTAGCAGAAGAGTCCCCTCGGTATAGTGAAAGAGGTGATCTCGCGGTCGGGGCCATGCATGGCAATCCGATGATAACAGCGGTAAGCATCTAAAAAACTGAGCCTGTTATGTCCAGCTGTTAAGTCCACAAGCTGGTCTATTCTGGGCAATGAAAAATTGTCTTTAGGGCAAGTTCGGTTGACGGTCTTGTAGTCGACACAAACTCGCCACTTCTCATTCTTCTTGGGTACAACAACTGTGTTTGAAATCCACCGAGGGTAGTACACTTCCTGAATTGCTTGTGCCTCAAGCAAGTTCTTCACCTCTTCCGTAACTACCTCGGCGTGATGTAACGCCGATCTCCTCATTCTCTGAATGACCGGCTTTGCACCGGGAAAAATATTCAGGTGATGGCAAATGAAACTCGGATCGATGCCGGGCATGTCGTAAGGTGACCATACGAAGACTTCGATGTTTGCCATCAAGAATTCCATCATATCGGTCCTTTCTTAGGCGGTAAGGCTTGAACCGAGCAAGAAGAACTTATTTGGACTTTCTGTGTCAATCAACACTTCCACCAATTCCTCAACGGCTTTATCCTCAGCCTTAGTGCCCACATCGTCAAGGACTCCCTGGTCTTCCGGTCTTTCTATCATTTGGACGAAGCCTTTGGCAGCTCGGCTCCCGTTCATTGCCACGAAGCATTGCTTCGACATGACTTGATCGCCCTAAATCTCCTTAATTGCCCCTATAGCCGAGGGGAATCTCATCACCTGATGGTAGGTCGACGCTACGGCTTGCATAGCGTAAAGCCATCCCCTTCCAAGGATCAGGTTATAAGTAGGAGGCACTTGCAATACCCAGAACTCCACTTGCTTGACCACGGATCCCGCTTTGACTGGCAGAATAATCTTTCCCAAAGGCCACTCAGGTTGTGAGTTGAAACCAACCAGTGGCGAAGTTGCCGGAGCCAAGTCTATATCCCGGAGCTTGAGCTGTTTGAATGTGTCGTAATACATGATCTCGATCGAGCTTCCCTAATCAATCAAGATGCATTTGACATCGAATTCTTTGACGCGGAGTGTGACTACTAAGGCATCGTTGTGCGGCGTCTGAATGCGCTCTAGGTCCCTTGTGGAGAAACTAATCACGTCTATTTCTTCGATCTTGCCCCTTTTGATTGCGGGCTGGACCGACAAAACTTCCCTCATGTGCTCCGCTTTCTTGATCATACCTCGGAGTTCACATACACGTGCCGATTCCACAATGCCGTGGATCATATTAACAATGCCCTGAGAGGGTGCCTCCAAGTCATCCGGTCTACGCGGATCAACCGGAGCAGGATGCGCGGCTTTAACACCCCCATCAATGTAAAGGTCCAAGTGTCCGGTTGCGACTAGCTCCTCCAAGTGTTGCTTCAGAGGCAAACAATCCTCTGTCTGGTGTTGCGCGCTCCCGGTGAAATGTGCAGCGATACCGTGGATTGAAACCCTTCTACGCATCGCCTAACTTAGCAGGAAATCGGACATAATTCTCGTCACAGATTTCACTAAGTATGCGAGAAATTTGAATCTTAAAGACCGTGGTGATGCCTGTCCTGGCTTTCAACCTTCTGTTCGCATCAGCTACGTCATCGCGGGGGTATTTATCTCGGTCATTCCGTCAACCCCTACCTCGGTTTCGACGATTTGAATCTCGGTCAAATTCCTCGGCGCGATCATTTGAACGGTTGGTCTCATGTCCGACCGCGTGCACCTTGCCAGTCGACCTCTTGTCTGTTGCTACCGGAGTTGCCTTCACGGTAGACGCTGCCGTATCATCTTTTACTTGGATGTGCTTATTGATGTGCTGCATTAATTGGCCCATGGATGTCAGCTGGTGCATAGTAAACGAGTCCCGCAGTTTACGTCCGACCGGGAGACCACGCTTATATTGAGTGATTGTCAGGTTGATCGGGCAATCCAAGATCTCATTGAAAGTTTCCCAGTATCTGGAGTTGTATGCCTTGAGTGTGTCACTCGGCTCTATCTTGACACTGAGAAGGTGGTCAACTTCCTTTGGCGTTTTGGTGTTGGTCTTGGAACGTGTCATGAAGGCTTTCGCCAACTGTTGCCACCTTTCGATGCTTCCCTCCGACAACCTCTCGAACCATTTCAAGCCCAACACGCCCAAACTTCACGGCAAGATAAGGCACATAAGAGCGTCATTTCACCTATGTCCGGCCATAACCTGTCGGAAGTGGCTTACAAGCATATATGGATCGATTTTTCCGTCGTAGAGCGTGAACTTTGGCTAGTGGAAGCCCGTCGGAAGCGGTGTTGTTTCTATCTCCAAGGAGAAAGGAGTGGCGCTCAGCCTCGCCAAGTTTGTGTCTAAAAGGAGAGGCGCAGCTAGGCGGGGTGGAGGCATTCCGACCTCTTCACTGGCGTGAACCCTATAGGATAGCCGCTGGAACGCCGGCACCCTCTGAGCCTCCCGCCGGCAAGCCCGTTCCTTCAAGACTACCCGCAAATCCTCTGAACGAGCGGAATAAGAATACCTCGACGTCGTCGCCAGACGTGAGGGTAGATAGGTGCTGTCTTGCGCGCTGGACTTCTCTACGTGCGCGTCGGAATCTCCAACCTTGTAACTTCTGGTGATTGAAATGGACGGAGTACGCCGCTGGCTCTGACTGCCTGAACGGCGGGGTTGGGTGCGCTTACTGTGGTCTCTTACTCTAGCTACACCCTTCCCTTTGACATGCCGCTTAAGATCCTCTATCTCAGCCGTCATTCGCCAGATGACGGCGTATTGGTCCCTTAGCTTATGTTCCAGTCGTTTGGCGTGCGATTCTTTCCGCCGCCGGTGACCGTCTGGACTCTATAAATGACCAAAGCTTCTTCCGCACTTATCCCGCGCGTCTCTTGAATGTCCTCTTGGAGAAGTCTCCAGGTCCGCCATAGGAGGGATGGCGGGATGTCCTTCTCTCCGTCTGCCTGACTCCAGGGTAACTCCGTCGATGGTAGACAACAGAATCTCGTCGTTGTTCGCCATGGACGGCGATCAGATGAGCTTGGAAGACAAGGTTTTGTTTGTCAAGTTTCCACAGACGGCGCCAATTGTACGGGGAGCAAATATTCAGGCAAGCCCATACTCTTTTCTTCCAAGCTCCTGTCTGTCCGATCGACCTACGAGCACAACGGCGGTGAGCTACCCGGCGGTGCGTGGTCGGAAAACCCCTCCGACGATCAAGTTAGCACACACACACAGGGATAGATAGAGAGGAGAGAGTTGAGTGTAAGTGTATATCTCACCAAATGTTCATCTGTCTCCGCATGGGGGGGCACGCATACTCGCTTATATACCTTCTGCGCCCCAAATCTACTCTCATTAGTCTCTCGACACGTGGTGCTGCTATCCCATCTGTCAACACAAATCTAGCTGATCATCACCTAACCAAACTGCCAGCCCACACTACCGAGATCTCGGCAACCAGGCTGCATCATCTCGGCTGCCAACGGCTGTGTTGCACAACAAGCTAGAGCGCTCCGCTCGTCGAGCTCAACGACGACCGAGCTCGGTTGCATTCCGGCATAGCCGAGCTAAAAACTGGTCGAGCTTGTAAACCGAAGACCTTTCCAGCCGGGTTGGAAGCGCGAACCATGGGAACAGGACCGACTTCCATTATCTTGGCCAAATTACCCAATTAGCTCGGTTCCCACATAAACAAGCCAAGTAGCTTGGTCCTAGCATGTCCTGGGCCATTACCGATCACAACCCTCTCCGGCTAAGCCCAAGCTATCACGGCCCACAACATGTTCGGCTCATAATCTGCTTGGTCATTACCACGGCCCAATCCAGCTCATAAATTTTCCTCTCAGACACAAAATATAAATAAGTGAATAAAATTTTTTTAAGGCAAAATCCTTTAAGATTTACATTTAACGTAAAAAAATATATTTAAATCTTACAAATTTGACTTTGAGGTTGAGTTCACCTGCTTTACAGCTTAAGAACTGATTTTTTTTTTTTATTTTAATATTTGTATTTTCAATTAAAAAAAAAAAAAAAAAGATAAAGAAAAAAGAAGTAGTAACATTTTATATACATTCCCATCACTAGATCCAAACAAACTTACCACTTTTTATCTCTATTGAGACGCGCACACACCCCTCCGACGCTCACTCGGTGGTGGATAGGATAGGGTAGATAGATATGAGCAAACCACGGCACAAACCACCATCAGGCCGTACAAACCTCGCATCATGCATCGTCGCCACAATCTTCTTGATCTTCGTAATCATCATCATCCTTATCGTGTTCTTCACCGTATTCAAACCCAGAGACCCCCAAATCTCCGTCAACGCCGTCCAACTCCCCACCTTCTCCCTCGCTAACGGCACCGTCAACTTCACGTTCTCCCAATACGTCTCCGTCAAGAACCCCAACAGAGCTGTGTTCACCCACTACGACAGCACACTACAATTACTGTACTCCGGCAGCCAAATCGGCTTCATGTTCATACCCGCCGGCAAGATCGACGCCGGCCGGACCCAGTACATGGCGGCGACGTTTTCCGTGCAGTCGTTTCCGATGGCGGCGGCGGCAGCGCCAGAGAATGTGGGTCCGAATGTGACGGACGGTTTGAACGGGTTTCGGGTCGGACCTACGATGGAGATCGAGTCGAGGATGGAGATGGCGGGGAGGGTGAGGCTGTTGCATTTCTTTGCTCATCATGTGGAGGCAAAATCTCAGTGTCAAGTAGCTATTTCTGTGAGTGATGGATCTGTATTGGGTTTTCATTGCTAGTTTTTTTTTTTTTTTTTGGTTGTTGAATTTGGTGAAGTGTATAAAGAATTTTGTTGATTTATGTTTTGAATTTTTTTTAGGTGGGTCTTGATTTTAGCTAAGTGGGTTTGGATTTGTCTCTGTGATCTACATTTGAGTTCATTAGTAGGTTCAAAATTTATGAAGTTCTTACTACTCAATTGTGAGCTGACTGGTGTGATTAGATTGTTGTAAGTGTTCATAAATGAAGGAATTGTAGATTGAAATTAATGAGTTAGTGAGTGACAGTGAGGAGCTTTTTCCTTTACCGGAGTTGATAACTTGAGAATGTGGCCGGAGGAGGGAGAGTAATGAAAGTGAAGAAAAAGCAGGGCTAGTTTTGAAGTGGTGTTAGTTGGGTTAGGTCAGTGGCTGGTGGGTCTGGAAAGTTAGTCCTCCTGGTCTATGGGGGTGGTGGTGGTCGTGATGGACCCACAATCACATGATGCACCGAAAAATAAAGAGCAACAATCCTCTAAAGTGGTTTTTTTTTAAAGTTTTTTACATTGTGTGGTTGAGATTTACTGGCAAGTCACATCAGAAAAAATTGATGTGACTTGTCAGTAAATCTCAATCACACAATGTAGCACTCTAAGAAACTTTAGGAAAATTTCACTCTAGAAGATCCTTGGTGAAATAGATTGGTAAGGATTTGAAGAGTTTGTTAAATTGTACTAGATATTGAATGTAGAGAGATGGTTTTAACAGAGAAGAATAAATAATGGTAGGGAAATGTAATTTGACTAGTCTATGTACAAGTAAAATCAGCTTTTTTACCATATTATCGTAGGTTAATTTTTAAGTTAAATATGATCTCGTTGAAAAGTTAGTTATTTTAATAAATTATTTTAATTTTTAATTATTTTAATAGATTAAAATAATTATATTTAGGAAGATGGTTGAATTTTTTTATAATTAGATTTAATATTTATAAAAAAAATAATAATTATAAATTTAATATAATATTTTATTTATTAATTATTTTAAATTTATTTTATATTTTATAAATTTTAATAAAAAAATAGTCCAAACCCAACTTGCTAAACATACCTTTACGACCGGGTTTATTACGAAGTAGGAATTTTAAAAATTTACAGTTTATGATCCTCTCCATTACATCCTCTAAGGATAAGTGTAATGATATCTGACTTTCTAGCATTACTCACTAGAATTGTATTTCCATGATTGAATTTATTGAAGACTTTGGGATTCGAGCAAAGATTTCTCTTTACCGGTTTCTTAGGATCATAAATACAGTTTTAAAATAGGGGGAATATCACATTAATGGAGAGTGTGAAAAAAAATTATAAATTAATAACAAAAAAATTATAGATATTAATAATTAAATTTGTAAATTATTTAATAAATTTGTTTTGTTTTGTTTTTTTTCGAAATGAGTGTAGAATTATAATTTGAAAACCCTAAACAAACACCATACTCAAAAGTGAGTGTGGAACTAGATTTTGAAAACTCCACCAAACGGAGCCAATAATTTTTACAGTATTATATTTAAATAATTTTCTTCTCTCGAATCTTCTAAATAGATTTCTGATCAGTAAGAAATTATTTTTTTACCAGTCAAAATTAGTTTTTTACTAGCTAGGAGTCCATTCGTAAAGAAAAATTGTGTGAATGAATTATTTTTATTATGAGTTTTGTTAAAATGAACTATTGAGGTACAAGGAAAAAGAAAACTTGAATAAGAAAAGATAATTTTTACTGACATTCTTTTCATGACTTTTTTAAAAATAATTCCAACATTTAACCATGCTCTATGAGCACTCTTTCTAACACTAGCCTTTTATTATTTAAATTAATTGTAGTAACTATCAATTTGGAGCGTAATTTGTACTTACCCTACTCTAATTGAGAAGAAGCATAAATAATCATCAAAAATGTGAAGCACAAAAAGTAAATGTAATAGAGATGAAATTTTAAGAATTAATTACAAAATTATATTTCTAATTACAACTTTAATCCCTTTCAACTCTCACTGCCTTCTCAAGTCCCTCTGCCACCCTTCTCCGCCACCACCCCTAGCCCTTCCCAATCCCTTCCACATATCCCTAGCTCCCCTACAAACTCATTTGCCTAACTCCTTTCCCTGCCAACACAGGAACATCCTCACCCTCTCTTCCAACCACTATCACAAAACCTTTTTTTGAAATCCTAGATCTTCATGATCTCTTTTACGGTGGTAGTACAGTGGTAGTGGCATGGAAGGAAACTAAGGTGGGGGGAGGAGCTAGGGATGGATGAAAGGGATTCTAAGAAGTTGAAATGGGTTGGAAGTGGCGGCGACAATGGGAAAAGAGGCTGGTGGCTAGAGGCTATAGAAGATGGGGGAAGGAAGGAGGAAGAGAGCAGAGAGATGGAAGGGAAAAACATAATTTAAAACATGTTTTTGTAATTAACTTCTAAGTTTCCATCCATGTTACAATTATTATTGGTACTCCACATTTTCTAATAATTTATATTTTTTTTCTTGCCATTCTTCCATTTTTTAAAGTATTCATTTCTAAGAATGGTCATTATCCCACATAATACGGTAATTATTCAGTAATCTCAAAATATCATAAGTGATTACCTATGTAATTCTTCAAATCAATCATGTAACAAAGAATTTTATAGGCTCCATGCTAACTCATTTTCATGAGGAAGTTGAGAGAATTTTCCCACCTAGGTAGGTCTTATTCTCCATGTATTTATTAGAATTTTTCTCTCTCACTTTGAGTATTTGATCATTGAGCTTCATTGTAATATTGCATATGAATCAAATAAAATAAAAAAATGTAGTTACTGAAGACTAAATGCAAACACGAGATGAATCTCTAATACACAAAGTATTGACAAAGGGGTACTCTCAGTTTTACCACAACCAATACATCAAAGTTTACATGTCTCAGACAAATTGAACAGGGGAATACATAGGAACATAAATGCTTCATCATCACCCATTACAAAGTAATCCAAAAAACAATCCACCAGTGCCCCAAACACAAGGTAAATCCCAACAAACTGTGACTAGCACTATCTGTAGCTGTAAACCTTAGACTGCAAGTTCAGATCAGGTCTCCACCACTGGTGAATTCCATGAGCTTGTTTCATGTCTTGAGCAGGAAATAAATTAACTACTAGATTTGCCGAAGGAATGAGGTGCAGCGGCTCTTCTGACTCCTTCCCCATCGCACTCATAACAAGACCCCCAAGTGAGTTCTGGGTCGCCAACCTCTCGACAACTCCTGCTCCAATCTCCTCCATCTTCTTCCTGTGTTCAAAATACCCAATATACTCCGAGCAAATGTGATCATCCGGATGAACAAATAAACATGGGACCCACGCAGACAAAGCCATAAACGGATCTTCTGATAGATTCCTCCGCTGCCGAGCCTTCAGAGCAACAGTGAATCCTGCAGCGATAAAACTGCTTGCAATTCGGATCCCTTGTTTCACTTTCTTATCTTTAATTCTCTCAATCGGAGCAGAAAGGAATGGAGAATTAAAGAGAAAAGCTTCGAGAAAAATTCCTGTCTTGGCCATAGTCTTTCCAGCAAGCATTGCCATGGCTGCCCCCAAGGAATGGCCGGCTAACAAGATATTCGAGTTTCCAAATGCTGCAACTGTGTTCCGCACAGCTCGCATGGCAATCTCGAAGCGAGATGTGTGATGAAGCCCATTTCTGATGATGTGGATGTCCAATTGAAGATCCCGCAAAAAAGCATCGCCTTTGGTTAGGGTGCCTCGGAAGGCAATTACATAAAGTGGAGTTCCATTTATTAACAAGTGGCTGCAGTCGGATGCTGGTTTAAATTCATAGATGGCACCAAAGATGGAGTGGTCAGCATCATCTACAAGCTGACTATGTAGTCGGAAATGGAAGAACTCCCACCAAGGAGGAGCAAGAGCTTCAGGCCCTTGCCTATTCTCCTGGCGGTCACGCTCCAAAATGTAGACACCCTGAACCAAACAGGCAGCGATAGACCTTCTGTGATCCGCATTTTTCCTGCATCAGATAAGCACAGTAATTACATTCCCTAGTTTCCTGGCTCATAGATAGGAAAAAGCCTCCTCTATAACAACTCCAGCAGAAACAAGGTTTAATTTTTCATTAGTAATGCAATGTATAAATGACTTTCTTACCTGATTTTCTTATCACTAGATAATAAAGTGGTGGAGCCCCCATTATTAAATTCATGTGGGATTCGTTGCCTTTGTGTCTAGTGAAAAAATAAAACTACGCCTTGTAAGAAATCCTTCTATGTAGAGACTTTTCCATTTTTCATTCATGCATCAACGTCAGTTCTAGAAGGAATCATATAAGACACATCAAAATATAAATGGACAATTTATAGAAAGACATCAAAACCAGCAGTAATTTCAACATGTCAAAGTTCCCTATCGATTGTGGACATGGATTCAGCTGTCATCCTTCAATGTCCATGAAGAAATTCTAGGAAGTATATGTATTTTTTAGTGCAATAGGTAATATTTATCTTAATCAATCCCTTTTTTTTTTGTTTTCTTTTTTTTCTTTTTTTTGTGGGTGTGTGTATCTTCTGAAAAGAAGAGAAGAAAATCAATATCAATTATTAAGTCATAACATAATGGCCACCACAGTATAAACAATTCCAAGTAAAAATGACCTACATGCCAATTAGATTAAGTGCATGTTTGACATACTCTAAAAAGATAAAAAGTTAAAAAGTTACTAAAAAAGTCAAAAAATTCATCTTTTTACCTTGTTTGGGCGGGAATGTATGTCTGAAAATTCAGACGGCAAAAAGACAATTTTTCCCCTTCCAGCTGTGGCATCCTATCACCCTATCTATACACATGTGGCACACGTTGGGCCATGCAAAATTTGCAGCAGTATGTAAAAAAAAAAATTGAAATGCAAAAGCTGCTAGGTGCTGCAGCTTTGTCGGAGGTCCACTCAAGGGTAAAAATGTAATTTTGCTATTTATTACAATATTTTAATATACATTTTTTCGTACAAAATCAAAAAGTTATCCCAAACATACATATTTTTTTCCTCTACTTTTTTTATCAAAAAGTCAAAAAGTGCACTTATATAATTCATACCAAACAATCCCAAATGATCTACGCGCCATAGAAATCCCAAAGTCAAACATACAATCCAGTGGCAATTTTACCAAAATTTTGTCAAAAATTCAAAGACATCCCTGATAGAAGTAGAACATGCACCGAACTTGCAACGGATGGCATTTCTCCAACCTTTTAGTTGATTTTAATAAATGTGGATTTTAAGTTTAGATCAAGTAAGCCGTGCCAATGTCTTCTCAAGATTTCAGACTTGCTCTATGCTCTTCTCTAAACATGGCTTCTTCTTGGGAAGACATTGGCACATACTCCCAAGTCCACCTCTAGAAATCCTTCAACCTCAAAATTCCATAATAATGTAGGGAGAAAAAGGTCTTACCAGTCAACATAAGTCAGGTGCAGGGGTCCTGAAAGGTTGAAATGTTCCCTCTCTGAGGCCATCACACGTCAGTCCTGATAATCTCTTCTGTATATCAGAAACTTTTCTGCATAGCACAAAGTAACCAATCAGTCAACAAACATTATTTTCAATATAGTTAGGATACATATAAACATATCCCTTCATAAGAAGTTCTAGAAACATTCTAAACCCCTCGACATTAGGCCTATATTTCATTCATCAAGCAATCAAATTTGGGTACCAAATTTTAGACACCATTGCATTGATAGAAGAATAAGATACCATGAAAGGTAGTGTCCTCAGCAGTCAAAGTGCCCAAATATCGCCCATACCACTCAGTTTCCAACTTCGTGCCATGCTAGCTAATTTTGGGTAGTTTGCCTTCACTACTTGACAAACAATAATGCTAGGGTGACCAAATTTGGGTGTATCTCCAATTCATTGGTTTAATAGACCCCACTTTCCATGGTAATCTTATACTAATGTTGGGTTAAGAATTATCAAAAAATCATAATCTGCAAAAAATTCTGATCCTTCAGTTTTAAATCAAGCTTATATTTTCAAGTAAACAAGCAGAACTTGCATAGTTTCTCACGTCGGAGCCAGCATAATCAAACAACGAAACACCATCCAGAAAGGAGAATGATGCATGGGGGTTTGCTGACTGGCACCATTAGATGGGACAATTGTCAGCTAACATTTCTGCAAATTCTTGAACTGTTAAATTAATAGAAATAAAGCAGGGTTCACATTCTCATTCTTGAACTCTGAAAATTAGCTTCTAAGGAGGAACCTTTTATATACTATACTTTCAGATTGACAAATCTTGCAAAATTATAGTTAGTGTGTGAAGTCTCAGTAGAGTAATATTATTAAATTTCAGGAACCACCGACTAAAATAGCTTTCGAGGGCTTTTTTATACACTAATATCAAAGTTTAAATGCGTGTGTCTTGGGCGTAATGTAGCTTGTCCATGTCAAGTGAGCACAGATCCTTAATTTCGACCTAGTCTTAAAAATGTGACCCAATTTCACAGTGCTGAAAAGACTACTTTTTTGAGTCTCAAACCAAGATCAATAGCAGGAAGGAACACGTATACAATTCCATCAAACATCAGTACAAGACCATTTGCGTACCGTGGCCAAAGTTCAATAATACAAGAAATCATATCAGCATCATCCAAACAACTAATACTTTTTTAAACACATACATATTCCTTAGAAATGTAGATGAAATATAAGAAAATCGCAATCTCACCGAATTGCACAGAGAGAGAGAGAGAGAGAGAGAGAGACTGAGAAAAGAGCCCCCGAATAATCGAAAATGCGAATGTACTCTCTCCTTCAATGGATGGATCGAACTTTACTTTGTCACAAAAATTAGAAACAAAACAATAAAAAAATAAAAAAGAAAACTTGTAATAATCGATCGAACATGTAAAATAGAATTTACAAAATGCAAGATGATGAATTTCAAAAAATATATAAACAAATAAAAAATCAAAGCTTAAAAATTTCAGTGTAAATAAGCAATAATCACCAATTCAGAATTAGGTTAAAAAACACTGCATATACATAATCATATTATACAAGTATGATATATAATGTTACAGAAAAGAAAATGTACCTTGATAAGTTGCAATGCACAGAGAGAGAGAGAGAGAGGTGGAGTTGTGACGAGTTGCAGGGTGTTTTTTATGGTGATCAATAATTGATTCCTTCGAGTTTCGGTTCTCTCTCTCTCTCTGTGTCTGAGTCGGAGAGACGAAGAGAGAGGTTGAAGCGTCGTTCTCTCGATCAGAATTTAAAAAAAAAATGGCGATTCAAGTGTATACCGTACATTTTTACAAATATACGTAGGTTATGTATGGAGGGTTTGACAAAGACCTTTTTTAATTTTTTAAGTTAAAATAATTAATAAAATAAAATATAACATTAAATTCATAGTTATTTTATTTTTTCTTACAAATATCACATTTAATTATAAAAAAATTTAATTATTTTTCTAAATATAAAAATTTTAGCCTATTAAAATAACTAAAAATTAAAATAACCTACTAAAATAATAACTTACCAAACATTTATTATATTTTATCACAGTAATGCTGAATGTCTCAAAAGTTTTATTAAAATTTTTACCAAATACTTTTATATGGTTGTAAGACCTATATCATATGGGTTTCATGTGGGTCACATATTTATGTGACACATTTGATAGAATTTTTGATATTTCTAATATTTTTAATTTTACAAATATACTATGTTAATTTATAAAATTTTAAAAAATTACAACTTAAATATATGGGGATGTACCAATAAATCCCAAATTAATAACTTATGCACTGTTTAGTCCTAAAAGTTTTCTTATAGACTGAAAGGTCCCATTACAATGTTTCAAACATCAGATTAATGTTTCAAATATTAGATTTCGAACATCAGATTAATGTTTCGAACATTAGATTTCAAACATCAGATTAATGTTTCAAACATTAAATTGATGTGCAAATGGGACTAAATGGAGCATAAGAAAACTTTTAGGACTAAATAGTTCAACTTTTCAGAAACTAGGACTTATGGGTAAATTTTCCTAAATATATTTATAAGAATTTATATAATTTTATAAAATAATTTATATATATTTATAAAAACTTATACATATACACATGATACACCTAAACTCTTCCTGTCAAAAATAAATAAATAAATAAATAATTATCGTATAGGAGTATTAGATTTACGGGAAATTGATATTGCCAAGGCTTACCTAAAATCTGAGAAAAGAATTGTTTACGTACGACGTCCTTTTCTTCAACCATAATTATTTAGCTTTTAATAAAGCAACGAAAGCAACTGGTAGCTGCTGGGCCCCCACCCACGGGTCGCCTCCGCGTCATTTACATTTGAATTTGACATTATAAATTCTAAGACCGGATTGTTTTCAGTCAGTCGGGATGGGAGGGATTCTTCACCAAGGATCCTCTAGAGTGAAATTTCCTTAAAGTTTCTTAGAGTGTTGCATTGTGTGGTTGAAATTTATTGGCAAATCACATCAATTTTTCTGATGTGACTTGCCAGCAAATCTCAACCACACAATATAGCACTCTAGAAAACTTTAGGGAAAAACCACTTTAGAGGATCCTTGCTCGGGATTCTTAGTCAAAAGGTTGACAGCGAGGAAATTAAGTAAAATTATATTTATTTTGATAATAATAATTAATATAGTAATTGTTAAATTATTTTTATATAAAATAATAAAATAAATAAAAAAATATAAAAAATTAAACATTAATATTTTAAAAAAAATTCTCAATATATAAAAAATTAAAAAATCTCTAATCCCCTCACTATTTTTCTAATACCATCTCCACCTCCTCCATCTCAATCTCCCTTCCAACCTCAATCTTTATCACCTCTACCATCCTAATCTCCTCCCCAACTGTACAAACAAACACAACACTAAATAACCACACCTCCGTTCTAATCCCCTCCCATCTATTTAATTTCAAAACAAACGGATCCTAAGAAAATTACAAATAAGTGGTAGTTTGGAAAAATAATTATTAAGTAGTTTGAGAAAATAATTATTAATTCATAAAAAAATTTAAAATTTTAATTATTAATATTTATAAAATTAATTATTAATTTGTAATTATTTTTTACAAAGACTAGTGAAGTAGTATTTTCCCAAAATTGTATTTGGTTAATTCCTCTTGGCATTATTATTTTTTATGTTTATTTTATTATAGGGGTAATTCATCGAGGTGCCCAAAGGGTGGGAAATTTTGGATAGGCAGTTGGATTTGGCCCATGTTCGTAAAGTTTTAGGAATTTGGAGAGTAAAGGAGATGGAGGTTAGGTGGGTTGATGGTAAAGGAAATGGGCCAAGTAAATTTCGAATGTTGGGACCAAGCTAGATAATAGGCTTGAGTCGTGGGTCGGGCTAGGTGGAATAAGAACGATATCCTTGATTAAGGCAAGGATCGTAGCCGAGCTATGTCGGCACTTTAGGGATAAACCGGCCTAAATCATGCAAGATTGCACGAAGTTTGACCAAGCTGTGGGATCATAGAGTGAACTGGGCTAAGGAAGCCCATCGCGACGGTCTGGCCAGAGTTAAGTTGGTCTCGAAGATGACTAGGTTAGACCGACTTGAATTAGCTCGGAATATGGACTTGTGGAGTGAGCACACTTAAGGATTTCACAAGTGATTGCTCGACTAGAACATTCTATGTGGCTTAGTGGAGTATGACAAGGAATCTGCCTCAAGTATGTATCAATACCTTTTGGCAGTTTGGCCAACGTTGTTTGGCAGTATTGACGCGGACACGTGTGAAGAAGAGAGAAGATAGTATTATCACGTGTCCAGAAAAGGACAACAGAGATAGTGCATGCACAAGTTACATAAGCTCTGCGGTACCTTCATGCAAAAAATATGCAATTTCTCCTTACACTAGTTATCTGTCACGACCCAAACCTGCCCCTATGGGTTTAGCACCGTAACCGGCCAGTAATCCGTGATTACCGAAGGCCTGCTTAACAGTAATAACAGTAATACAGAGTACAGGGGCTGGCGGAAGCCACAACAGTAATTGAAAGATATCCAATGAGCTGTGACAGTCTGTATGCAAAAAGACTTTTTATACATATTCACATTCAAAACCAAAATAGTATATATATATATATATACAAGCATTTAGGTTAGGGACTAAATCCCTACCATAACAGTACAGTACAAGTCTATACAAAACAGAGACAGAAAGGGGGAATCTAAAACACCCCAAAGCAACCCTAGCTTGAAGGACTTGGAACCTCTCAGTGAGGCACAGTGGTTGGCTTGACAAAAAAAGGAATTTAACCCAACGCTCCTAGATCCGATCAGGTGCCTGGACACCTACATATATATATAAACAGTAAGCTAAAGCCTAGTGAATAACATATGCGTAAAGAGGTTAAGAATGAATGTCCTTTCAGTCATTAAACAGTCATATCAGTCATTTAGAAACCATAGCAGTTATAAGTGGTATATCCAATAGCAAAACAGTACAGTAGGTCTTAATAGACCGAACAGTCAGTTGATGGCCATCATAACAGTAAACAGTAGTGGTTCCAACATGGGAACTGACAGAGATCTCTGTGACAGTAGCAGTACAGTAACAGTACAGTAACAGTACATTGCTATGGATACCACGAGTACAGTTCATCAATAGGACATCATTCATTCAATAAGAAATATCATTTCAAAAAGCAGTACAGTAGATCATTCAGAAAATATTCATGATTGAACATATCTTTACAACATTGTTACTCACAGAGTTCTGGGCTACAGATAGGCTAGTGAGTGTCCTCGGATGCCAACCCTACATAGTTACAGGATGAACACACACTAAGTTGCACGTTTGGGAAACAATAACTTAGTCCTATCTTGACTCGGTGTGGTTCTACATCAATAGCCTCATTAAGATGCCTTAAACTAGGCCTAGGAATTCCTAGGATGAAATGAGGATGCAAAGATGTACTTTAAAACACTTTTCAAAATTTTTAGAAAGCAGGGGTTTCGCTCGAGCGTGGCTTTATACGCTCGAGCGGACATGCAGACAAAGGAGCTTCGCTCGAGCGTGACTTTCCTCGCTCGAGCAGACTGCAAAAGTACTGGATGCATGAAATTCCCGCTCGACGGGCACTCGACCCCCGCTCGAGCGTGAGACACAAGTCCTCGCTCGAGCGTGCATTCCTCCGCTTGAGCGGATTGTAAACACATGCAAAGTACTGGATACACGCATTTCACGCTCGAGCGTTACTTTTCCCGTTCGAGCGGTCTGCATGAACTTAGAGTGTACGCTCGAGCGTGAAGTTTCTTGCTCGACCGTGGATCCAAAATCTGGAATTTCCAGATTTGTCTCCAAACATGAAACTCAACATTTAAAGCATCAAATTCGATCCTTTTGGGCTAATTTTCTGGAAAACACTTTAAAACTCATATTATGACATGTTTCAAAGATCAATTTGTAAAATCAAAGCCCAAAGGTAGTTCAATTGAACCCATTTCTGAACAAAACCTCAAGAACATAATGTACATGCAACATGCATGAATTTAATCAACTTCAAAGCTTTTAATACAAGAACAAATGAGTCAATCCTTTCAAAAACATGCTGAATTCATGGACCAAAGCTAGAATATGGACATGCATGTGAGGATTCTATGAAAACAACCTCAAAACTCACCAATGTATACATGCATGCATGATTTAAGCTTCAATTCAACATGTTAGAACCAATTCTAGACTTAAACCACTAAAGACTCATTAACCATGCAAGGTATAACTAGAATTCATAATCAAGAAAATGAATATCCTACCTTATGTCCTCAATTTCAAGTCTAGAAGCTCAATTATGCAATCTACTCTTCAATTCTTTTAATTTTCCAAGCAAAACTTGTTGAAACCAAAGCTCTCCTAACTCTCTCTCTCTCTCTAGTCGGTTGCTTCAATTCAACATGTTAGAACCAATTCTAGACTTAAACCACTAAAGACTCATTAACCATGCAAGGTACAACTAGAATTCATAATCAAGAAAATGAATATCCTACCTTATGTCCTCAATTTCAAGTCTAAAAGCTCAATTATGCAATCTACTCTTCAATTCTTCTAATTTTCCAAGCAAAACTTGTTGAAACCAAAGCTCTCCTAACTCTCTCTCTCTCTAGTCGGTTATGGCCAAGAAGATGGAGAAGAAATGTTATGTCAAATGTGAATGAAATGAAGAGAAGTGTTGGTCTAGCACTAGGCCACTAAGTGGCAAAATGGTAGATAAG